AGTAGGGATAGACACCAGATGTGGTGTAAGGTCTAAAACTCATATCCGTGAATAAGGAAGTGAAACGTTGACAGAATGAACTTGAATGTGGAAACTAACATCCATGAATGCATGTGAACTTTTGGGTCATTCTATAGCAGTTTAATTCAGAGTGAAAAATTATTTAAGTAAAAATTATTTTGAGTACTTTGGAAGAGATATTTATCTACAACCTTGCTATAATTCATTTTTAGAAATTCAATATAATTAAAATGTAACATTTATTCTTTTTCCTTTCTGATTACTAAAACTTTGTTCTCAGTGTAGATAACTTTAAATATAACAAAAAAAATCAGAAAATAAATATTGTACATAATTCCACAGATCAGCGCCACTAAGTGTTTGTGGTATATTTTTCTAACCTCTTGACTATGTATATACTCATCAATTGATTCAATTAACAAACAAGATATTGTGAAGGGGACGGGTTAGTATATAATAAACAAAATCAACACAATATTTATTTTTACTAAAGTGGAGTCATAATGGAAATACTATTTTGTAAATAGATGTTTTCACCCAACCATATAGAGTGATCATCTTTCGTATTATGAACAGTAGGGATGCCCTAATTTACCCAAATTTTCAAGATTTATAATACCACTGTTATGGACATCCCTAAGAGCTGCTCTGTGTTTATTTAGGAAAAGCTATGTGGTAGAGTGATTAAGAGTGTATGTTCTACAATAAAATACCTGGTTCAGAATTTGGCCTCACTTCTCATTGGCACAAAGCAAGTTTCCTCAAATTTTTCATGATTTCATTTCCCGATATGTAAAAATGGGATAACAAAATTTACCCTGAGGAACTACTGTAGGAGTATAATTAGACATTTTAAACAACACAGCACATAGGAAATGTTCAATAATTATGATAAATTACTATGATTATATCATTAAGCTACATTCTCAAAAATAGAATTCCTTCATTAAGGTTTATAGAGCTATATTTTAAGATTTTTAAAACTGTTAAGTATCAGTAGGCCTTTAGAGGAACTAATGACTTACAAATCCACTATCAACACATACCAGTGCCCATTTTCCAAGCTCTCCAAATGAAAGCATTTAAAAATTTGATTTACTGTGTCCATTTCATTGACACTTTCTTCTTTTTAAAAATTGAGATATAACTGACATAGATTTGTAAGTTTAACCTGTCCAACCTGTTGATTTGATACATTTATATAACTGATACTTCTTTGACTACTCAAGTGCTCAGAGGATTTCAGGAAACAGAAATTATGAGACACTAAGAGGAAGGAAGTTGAAGTGATGGGAATAGTATGTGCAAAGGTCCTGAGGTTTATATGCTTAGAAAGAGGAAGGATTCTATTTTACTGGGGCATAGAGAACCTACAGAATCAAAGTGAAAGATTAAACTGGAAAGGTAGGTGAGATCGAGGTTGTGGGTTGCTGGAGGGACAGTAAATGATACTCTATATCCTGTGCCACATGGTGCCACCTGGTATTGCTGAGGCTTGGAAAATTATTGCTGTGCTGCAAAGACCTAACTGAAGTCAGCTCTTTTCAGACAGTGGTGATGAAACTGAATTTTTGGTAAGGTATGAATAGCGCTCAAATTCATTTATTCACTCATTCATTCAAATATTTAATAGGTAATTATTGCATGGCTGCTGTGGGCCAGGTGAATGAGCTGCACGATGTAAAAAAAAATCATTTTATAATGAAAGACTTGGCCAATTAAAAAAGGTAGAAAAATAGAAGGTCACTTGTGGTTTTGATGAACAGTAAGAAAGATATAAGCAGGATGGCATGAGGGAGTTCCTGGAGGAGGTCACTTCACTGTGGGGCATTAGGGAAGGCCTCTCTGAGGAGGTGGCACCTGAGCCAAGGCCTGAAAGATGGACATGTTCCAGCATTCAAAGAACCATGCCTTGGTCATTATAGGTACTAATAAAACAAGTGCATGTACAGGCCCAGTGCCAGGACAAAAGGTGATGTTTTCAAAGCACATACAAGAGCCCATTGTGGCTAGAGTTGGTGGCAGCAAGCTGTGTCTGAAAAGAGGCAGAGAGGCAGGCAGGGGCTGGGTCAGGTAGAACCTTTGAGTCACGTCACAGAGGCTGGGCTTTATTTTGAGAATAGTGGAACACCTTACCATTGCAGGATTTTAAAGATGAAATTAACACTGTTGAAATAATTCTTATCAGAATTCTGATGAGAGGCAACGTGGCTTAATTAGAGGGGAGGAGTTGCAGATGAGGAGAAAAGAAGAGACTCAGGATATATTTGGAAGGAAAGGGACTGGATTTTAGGGAAGAGGTTAAGTGGAGAATTAAGACAGCTTCTAGATTTGGCCTTGAGCGATTGGGTAGTTTGTGGGCTGAGTTACAGAGACTGGGAAACCTGGCAAAGAGGCAGATTTGAGGATTCTGTCTCCCCTCCTGGGTTCAGTAGCTGGGTCTATGAAATAAACTGACATCTGGCAGATTAATGGAAGAAAATGTATATAGATGCATTAATTTTTAATATTATGGGCATGGAGGCCATGCAGGAAAAAAGTGAATACTCAAAAACAGTGAGATTTGAGAGCTTGCGTACAGCTTAATAGGGGAAGGGGAGGAAGGAAGGATACAAGCCTCTCATGTTTAGGAAAGATGAATAGGCCCTTAGAAGAAAAGCTGTAAGAGATGATAGTTTGTGACCAGGTTTGTCTGGGTGGGGTGTCTCCTTCTAGTCTTCTCTCCTGAGATGAGAGTTAATCTTCCCTGGTGGATGAAATTCCCAGGGAAGGGATTCATGGCCACTGAGTTCCATCTTTAGGCAGATAAGGGGGATTCAGAGAGAACTGCTCCGTGCATTTCCTATTGTTTCAAGTGTCTTCAGTTCAAAACAATATATACGAAGGCAGGATATTTTGGGGTAGTATGTCCTGAACTCCTTCAGGGACAAAACTCATGAGCTTCATTTTGAGCCTGTGTGTGAAATGGTTATAAGATATTCAGGTGTAGATACCAAGAAGGAAGTTGTGCCTATGAATGTGGCTTTTCAGAGAGAGAATGGGAGATAGAAATAGGAACTAAGGCAGCATTCGTGCATAGATGGCATTTGGAATCATTGGGCTGGATGGAATCATACACGTCTTGCAGACTGTGTTGACGAACAACTCATCGATGGACAGAAGTTTTCACTGTTCTGCTGGTGGTCAGGATGCCATCTAAGCATTGTTCACTTAGTCTGGTTCTGGGAAGATGCGTGCACTTTCAAAGATGCCCCATGTGCAATTCTTTTTTTTTAACTTTTTTTATTGAGTTACAGTCATTTTAAAATGCTGTGTCAAATTCCAGTGTAGAGCACAATTTTTCAGTTACACATGAACATATATATAGTCATTGTCACATTTTTTTTCACTGTGAGCTACCACAAAATCTTGTATATATTTCCCTGTGCTATACAGTATAATCTTGTTTATCTATTCTACATATGCCTGTCAGTATCTACAAATTTGGAACTCCCAGTCTGTCCCTTCCCACCCCCCTCCCCCTTGGCAACCACAAGTTTGTATTCTATGTCTGTGAGTCTGTTTCTATTTTGTATTTATGTTCTTTTTTTTCAGATTCCACATATGAGTGATCTCATATGGTATTTTTCTTTCTCTTTCTGGCTTACTTCACTTAGATTGACATTCTCCAGGGACATCCATGTTGCTGCAAATGGCGTTATGTTGTCATTTTTATGGCTGAATAATATTCCATTGTATAAATATACCACAGCTTCTTTATCCAGTCATCTGTTGATGGACATTTAGGCTGTTTCCGTGTCTTGGCTATTGTAAATAGTGCTGCTATGAACATTGAGGTACAGGTGTCTTTTTGAAGTAGGGTTCCTTCTGGCTGTATGCCCATGAGCAGGATGACTGGGTCATATGGTAAGTCTATTCCTAGTCTTTTGAGGAATCTCCGTACTGTTTTCCACAGTGGCTGCACCAGCCAGTGTAGGAGGGTTCCCACCAGCAGTGTAGGAGGGTTCCCTTTTCTCCACAGCCTCTCCAGCATTTGTCAGTTGTGGACTCTTGAATGATGGCCATTCTGACTGGTGTGAGGTGATACCTCACTGTAGTTTTGATTTGCATTTCTCTGATAATTAGTGATATTGAGCATGTTTTCTTGTCCCATGTGCAATTCTTGTGTTTGACTCACCTGGCATGGCATTTCCTAGAATGCGTGATTTCATCTCACGAAGTTTTACACCATGTCATCATAGAACATACTAGAAATTGCCCACGCTAGACAGGACACAATTTCCTGAGATTTTGTGTGTGAGTCTGTGCATGAGAAGAAGTCAGAATTACCTGACTTTTTTTTTCCCCTAAGAGATAGCATATAACCATTTTCTTTCTGATACTATAATTCTAGGCTATTTTTGTTTCTCCTCCTGCAGTTCTTCAATATCTGTCAGTGTAGGTCACTTCATCTTATTCATGGGAAATAAATGTGATGTTTATTCTGTGCTGCTCCATGGGCATAATGTTCTTTCCTGCCCCTGCCTCTGAAAAGATGACTCACATGGAGGGAAGGAGGAGGCTGAGTCTATTGATTCAGTTTCCTAATGAGAGAAAAATATCAGTTTGGCTGCTGATGTGAGATGCATTCAATCCACCCTAAACTAAGGACTGATGACTGTGAATACCTTCCTAGCAAAGAGCAGTCCTCTACCTACAGCATTTGCAGGAATATCAGATCTTTGCATTGATGTTTGAGAAATGTGGGAGTCGTAGAAAGGACTTTTCAGCTTCTTTTCAGTCATTATGAATCTTTGCTATCACCCAAAAAGAACAATACTGATTGCACTATCTCAAAGCAGTATAAAGACTATGACCTCATTTTATGGAATGACAAATAACCTTTCTCAGATGCTTATGCCACATAAACGGCACAGGGCAATTGTTACATCACCTCACATATCTGAGCCTAAAAGGTATAAAATGGAGCCCCGCTTGCCTGCTCTTCCCACTTCTGGATATAGGGTGCAGTGGTAGCTGTGATAAAAACTCCCCTTTCGGGAAAAAGAGCTCTCATTTTTGGACAGAGCTTTCTGAACCAACAACCTCAAGCCACCAACACGGGGCCATTAATTAGGCACTAATCTGGAGTCAGATTGTCTCTAATTTTAGGCTGGGCTCAGCTACCCAAGTTAGTGACCTTAAATGAATCACTGAATGATTTTCAAACCTTATTGTGCATGTGAATCATCTGAGGAGGGTGTTAAAATGCACATTCCCAGGTCCGACCCTTAGAGATTCTGGTTCAGAAAGTCTGGGGTGGAGTCAAACAGCTTGCAAATTTCACAGGCATCCCGAATAATTCTAACCTCAGTTGATCCAAGAGACACACTGAGAGATTCTGTTTGTTCTTTCCTGATATCAGAGGGCTATTGTGAGAGCAGAGAATATCAGAGCGCACTCTGAGCTTTTGAAAGGAAATCAGAATGCCAATAAATACGAGGTTGCTGTGCAGTCCCAGTTCTCTGCCCCAGGCACCGAAGGGAGTAAAAACCTCTCCTCTGTGTGTCAAAAGGAAGCCTGAATCTCCTCTCTGCATCCAGTCATCTACAAAGGGATTTCCTAAGCGACTGTACTTTGTTCTGGGCTCCAATCTGCTAGGAGCAAAATTGGTATGATTATGAACAAGTCGCCAGGAGATGAAAGCATTTTTCGCAGCTGTGATGGAGGATGTGTTGACGCAGGAGAGCTGTGGGCTTGCCATGCTCTGAAGGCAGCTTGGTGAGAAGTGGACTTGCTGGAAGCTTGCAGGGCTCTGGTGGGGGGAAGAAAAGCGGGTTCTCCACACAGCACTGAGGTCAAACATCCTGTTCCCTCTGAAGCATTAGGTAATTAAACATTGCCAAGCCAACAAGTGAGAAGAAGCTCCACAGCTGTCCACTTCACCCCTGCCCTAATGCCCGTCACTTTAAATGTGTTTAATCAACAAGCATTTATGGCACACCTACTGTGTGCCTGGCTGGGTGAGCAAGGCACCATTGCTCCCCTTGCTTAAGCAGTTTACACTCTTCCAAGAGCTATCAGCAAGGGGTTGTCCATTGCAATCCAGGATGAGTGTGAAAAGTGCTAGAAAAAAGCATAAGCCACCCAACTTAACCTCCAGTAGGGTGGCAGAGGGAGCCAGGAAGGATCGCTGGAGTAACTGGCAGCCAGTCTGAGACTCAAGGGCAGAATAGGAGTTAGACAGGCTTTTGAGACACATAGACCCAAGTTTTATTTAGGGTTCAGCTCTTCCTTTAGGCAGATTACTCATTGTCCCTGGACTATCTTGAGATCATGCTGAAGGGCTTACTTAATCAGATCTTTAAAAGTACTACATGATACCTGGCCATGGGAGAGTAGTAATAATAATTCTATTTAATCAGACCTCACTGGGCAAGATTCTGTAATAATAATGTTTGATATATTAATTTTTGCTAGAACAATAAGACGTGGGGCAACTTAACCTCATTTTACAGTGGAGGAAATTGAGGCTCAGAAAGTTTAACAACCTATCTCAGTAATACACCTGTATGACCTCAGAGTTTGTGTTCTTAACCAGGGTGGTAGAGCGAGCGCTCCTGGAAAGTCACCTGACACCTACTAGTGGCTCAGTGAATGCTTATTGAATGAATAAAGCCTTCAGGAAGTAGTAAATGTCAACAAACCAAAAGAAAAAAATCACTATTGCCATTAATACAACAATAACAGATATTTTAAGGAGAATAAGATAGTTCATTTAAGATAATCAATTATATCTAATTCAAAAAGACATATGCACCTGCACCCCAGTGTTCATAGCAGCACTATTTACAATATCCAAGACATGGAAGCAACCTACATGTCCATTGACAGATGACTGGATAAAGAAGCTGTGGCATATATATATAGTTGTATATATTATATATACCACAATATATATACATATATATATATATAAAAGAATACTACTCAGCCAGAAAGAGAGTGAAATAATGCCATTTGCAGCAACCTGGGTGGACCTGGAGATGATCATACTAAGTGAAATAAGTCAGAAAGAGAAAGACAAATACCATATGATATCACTTAGATGTGGAATCTAAAAAAATGACACAAATGACTTATTTACAAAGCAGAAACAGACTCACAGAGATAGTAAACAAACTTATGGTTACCAGTGGGGAAAGAAAGAGGGGGGGGTGGAGAGACAAATTAGGATTTTTGGATTTGCAGATAATAACTACTATATATAAAATAGGTAAACAACAAAGTCCTACTGTACATCACAGGGAAATGTATTCAACACCTTGTAATAGCCTATAATGAAAAAAATATGAAAAGAATATATATATATGTATATATAACTGAATCACACTATGCTGTACACCAGAAATTAGCACAACATTATAAACTACCATAAAAAAATCCATTATAGATAAATAGCACTTTTTGCATTTAACATATATGTGTCATTTTTTTTATAACACCCATCGGAATAGACTAGGTATTATGAACCCACATTGCAGGTATAAAAGAGATAGCATGGATGTTGCAGATAGTAGGTTATTCCTCATAGAGATGAAGAAATTAAGACAGACAGAGATAAATTTGAACTTTCCAAGGTCTCAGAGAGACCAGAAGGCGAACTTTTGAATCCTACACCAGCGATTTTTCTACTGCTCCTTTTCCACTACACAGCGTAGATTGATGTCTTTAGGGGTGGGGAGGCCTCTGTTCTAGAAGCACTGACTATGAATTTAAACACGGCTGACTGTCATGAAAATGCACAGCAGTGGTCATGTGGCGGCTCAAGGGAAATCCTTCACTCAGGACGCCTCCAGCTGCAACAGGAAAATTCATCTCCAAATATCTGGAACAGTAAAGGAATTATTATCTCTTTCTTAGTTCTGCAAATAGCTACTAAGTACCTACTGTGAAGGAGAGAGACAATAGATGAAATAATTAAGTGGACTATAAAATACAAGATTATAAGTGTAACTGAGGAAAGTAAAGCAACAGAGGGTCTCGGGTTATGGGTTTTCTCTTTCAAATAAGATGGTCAAGATGCCCAGGCAAAAGATAACATTTTAGCAATGATATGAAGAAGGTGAGAGATCAAAACATGTGGTTATCTGAGGAGGAAAGGTCCAGATGGAGGTAATGGTGGGTGCAAATGCCCTGAGGCAAGAGCTTACCTGGTATGTTCAAGACCTAGACGTGAAGCTGATGTGGCCAAAGTTGAGTGACCAAAGGGAAAAGTTGTGAGAAATGGAGACAGAAGGATGATGACAGGCAGATACGAACAGGAGCCTTAGAGACCGTTATAAAGACCTGACCTGCTGCCTGAATAGTCATTAAATGCTCTTTTTTAAAAATTGAAGTGTAATTGTTTTATAGTATTGTATTAGTCACTGGTGTGCAGCATAGTGATTCAATTATACAAACACACACACAGATGTATATATTCTTTTTCATATTTTTCAGAAAGCGGGGGAGGGATAAATTGAGAGTTCAGGATTAGCAGATACAAACTACTGTCTATAAAATAGATAAACAGCAAGGACCTACTATATAGCACAGGGAACTCTATTCAATATCTTGTAGTAACTTATAATGAAAAATAATATGAATGTTCTTTTTGATAGCAGGTCAATAATAAATGGTAAGGGACCAAGGTCAAAAGTAAAGAGCCCAGTTAAGCGGTAACCCAGTTTTTCACTTAATAAGTCCTGAGGCAGGGAGCCCCCAGAGCTGAATAATTCCCTGGCTGAAGTATAGCATGGAGGACTGAGATCCACTCCATCTTTCTGGTTTGCTGTCCTTGGAATGTCAGCTTCATCCCAAGACAACTGTAGGCATTCAGGGCATTATACTCAAACACAACAATATCCAGTGAAAAGACATTTTTTTAGAACAATTTTTTCCAGATATTCCCAAGCAATTTCTAATGATGTCCCCTTGGCCTCAGTCTGAGTCACAGGCCCAGTTCTAAACTAACACTGAGAAGGAGGATGGGATTAGCCCAGCTACCTTGCACAGATCAGGCTTGCATCTGAGCTTGGTAGAGGATGGTCCTCTCTGAGTAGAGGATGCCATAATAAAATCTGGGCTTTCCAGTGAGGAATAGGGGCACAATTCCAGGTAGTCCAACAACAGCGTTAACTACAGGAAGCAGAGGCAGATATGGCTTACCCAGTTCTGTTGCTACCACTGGGCAAAGGGTGAAGGTTTATTGGCTAGGTCTTTGGAGAACGTCTGACTCAGGGAATGCCAAATGCCCAGCTTCTTTAGGCTGACTGCCTTAAAGCTGGGGTCTGGGTGTGTGAGAAGATAATCTGTCTTTTGTTGTCTTCTTATGTTACTCATTAAGCAAACTCAGCATCAACCCACTTACTGCCTGTGTTATTTGTTAATAGAATTTAAAAGCTGAGAATAAATAATTAAGCACATGGACACTGTGGGGTGGTACCTGGTTTTGTACTTGAAGTTTCAAGTAAGCAGTATGCTTTTTTTCCCCAGTGTGTTTATTTTTAATTTATTAGGTTGAACTCTTTTTTTTAAGAGTGTAGCTACCTTTATAATCATATGTTTAGGGGTAAGAATATTGAATTTCATTCCTCCACTTATTTGGTAAATATTGGGCACTAGGTGTTGAAAACAGCAATTCTTAAAATAGCCAAGGTCTCTGGTGTTACAGAGCTCTCATTGTAGTGGGTGCGGCAGATAATTTAAAAAGCCAGCTTTCACAGACACAAGATAATTTCAGATGGTGACAAAGTCTAAAGAATAGAAAATGTAATGTGGTCATGGCTGCGTGAGGTGATAGGGGATGCTATATGAGATGGTTGTTCTGTGATGGCTTTTCTAAAGAGGTGGCATTTGCATTGAAATCTAAATAATGAGTAGAAGCCAGGTTCAAAAGACGTAGTGGAATACTGTTTAGACCCAGGAGTCATTGCAAAGGTCCTGAGGCAGTAGCAATCTTGACATGACCAGAAGGGAGACCAGGATGACTGGAGTGGTGAGTGGGGGAAGGATGAGTTGGCAGAGAGGAGCAGCATCAAGTTCAGGTGATGCCTTGCAACCCCTGGCAAATAATTTGTTTTATTCTGGATGCACTGGGAAGCCATTAGAGGATTTTAAGCATGGGAGTACCTTGACGTTTTAAGAAGTAATAAAATGGAGGAGTGGTGATTTGATACTCAAACCAACACCCTAGGGCATTTCACCCCAGTGGAGAACTTCAGTAACATAACCTTCCACAGAGTTGTAGTGTGAAAATTAAACCTCATCTTTAAACTCAGACTTTTTTGTTGTTGTTGCACACTTGTTTGTTTTGTTTTTGCTTTCAACCCGGAGGTCTTCATACCCACCTCGCATAGTAAAATGCTGCCTGTGGTCTAGAGCTCACTGTGGTATCTTTGCCCAGGACCACAATAGGAACTAGTAAAATTTTAGATCTAGTTGGTGCCTATGATTTAAACCTAGAAGTGAACACTCAAGTGAGTTAATAATGCTTATATATGTGGTGGTTCAGAGAGCAAGATGTTGAATTTGCTGTTACCAGTTGTGTACCCTTGAGCAGGTACTAAAAAGAATAGATCCTGTATCATGGGGATGCTGCAAGACTTAAATGAGATAATGCATGTTAGTTGTGAGCCCTGGAACCCACATTCAGCAGGAGCCCCATTAACTCTTTTTCATTTTTTGTTATAAAACACACTGGGCTCAGTCAACTCCACTTACTTCCTCCAAAGCCCACCCACACACCTTAGAGTCATCCTTGACTCTGCCTTCTTTACTTCCCTCAACGCACATGCTCATCTGTTCTCAGCCCTACATCACTCTTCCCCCTAAATATCTCAAATATAATCTCTGGGATCCTTTGACCTCTTTCCAACCCCATTGTCACTCTCCTCCTCTGGCTACCATCTTCTCTTCCCTAGATATGGAAGCAGCCTCCTTGGTTTTTCTGTAGCCTCCTTCTTAGCCACCTCCAGTCTGTTTTTCACCCTATGCCTCTGTTAGGTAGTTAGATAAGTGGGGGCACTGGGCAAACGGGTGGAGGGGAGGGAGGGTGGCCCAGAAGGTGGAGTAGTGCCCACCTCCAGCATAAAGGGGCTTTACTTCTAAATGAGTGCCAGCAAGAAACTGGTTAGAACCCGGCAGCCACGACTTCCCAGTAGCCGAAAGGACTTAACCAGGCACCACCCAATGCTCATTGTATTATAATTAACACTGAAGTTTAGCACCACCTCCATAGGTTTTTCTGTACACACCATGGGTGAGGACATGCGCAAAGGGATTAAACATGACTAAGCATTTCAGGGACAAGAGCCGTCAATCAATCAAGAGACCACCTCTAAGGGAGGGTGTAAGAGAAAGGGGAGATAGAAACCACCACTTTTCCTCCCTCGGATCAGTCTGCCTCCTGTTCTTAGAGGTGTACTTTTTCTTTTCTAAATAAATCTTTAAAAATCTTCCACTACACAATGTACCGTCTCCCAACTGCAAACTTATCTTTTGGGTATGACAGGAACTGGGGTCTTTACCTTTTGGGGTAACACCTCCCGTAGTGCTTCTCGTGGGCACGCATGTCACTTCCCTCCTAAAACCTTCCCTGGGCTCCATTGTTCTTAGGATACTTCTAGCCTCACTCCCTGTTTTCCTTCATGTCCCCTGTATACCTGATTCCCTCGCCTCCAGCATGACACACACGTTATTTTCTTTGCCAAAAATATTGTTCACCCTGTCTGTCCCTGGCAAACCCCTACTCATCACTCACATCTCAGCTTTGGTTTCACTTTTCCTAGTAAGCCTTCCCTTAGCCTGAACTCTCAGCCTCACTGCCCTTCTAAGAGGTCCTGGATGTTATCGATCATAACACTTGCATTATCATTGCCTTGCTCCTTGCGTACTCTCCTCCACTAGATCATAGTCTCCGTGAAGGCAGGGCCATATCAATGTGTCTGCTACAACTGTAAGGTGTATAAGCAACCCCAGTGCCCAGCACAGTGCCTGGCACATGCTGGCACATGTTGAATACATGTGCACATGAATGAATAAACATACTATCAAATACACGCACACATGAATGAATGAACACCAGCTTTCCAATCAGTAAAGACCAGTAGACAAAACTCTCAGAAAATTCATTCTAGTGACAAGAGTGATGTTTCTTACTACCAGTCCTACTCCCTGTCAGTAAAATTGGTGGCCAGAATTCCTTCAAACTTAAATAATTTACTGCAGAATAGAGCTGCCGTTTTTCAATGTGTCAGTATCAGTGGCTGCCTAAAGACCCAGGTTAGACCAAATGGCGACAGCATTATATTGTTAAATTGTCAAAACACTTTTACGTATATTGTTTCATGGGATTTACACACCAGATCTGTGGGAGAATGAGGTGAGGACACTGAGACATGAAGATGTAGTCAGAACCCAGTTCTCGTCTCTTCTAGTCAGAGTATTACTTGCCCACGTGATCTTGCCTTATATATGATTAATGTGATCATTACCCCAGCCCTGGTCGAGGCATATTACTGTGAAGCAGTGATTCTCCCTGTTGGGCAGGGGGGTTGCCCTCCAGGGGATATTCAGCAATGTCTGGAGACATTTTATTATCACCGCTGAGGTGGGGAGGGCTTGCTACTGGCATCTAGTGTATGGAGGCCAGGGATGCTGCTTAACATCCTACAATGCACAGGACAGAACAGCCCCACCACCCCAGCCCCACTCCCACCACCACCAAAGAGTTATCCAGCCCCAAATGTCAACAGTGCTGATGTTGAGAAACCCTGCTGTGTAGCAAAGCTCATAGACAGAAACAGAGATGAACAGTAGTGTGGAAATCTCTCCAAGTGTAGAGAGATCGGTGAGTGCACCACCTGTTTAAAGGCATGTAGTTTGAATGAGAACATAAAATACTCTGCCGGCCAAACAGAACGTTTCTGCAGGCTGTGCACTGTGTGCGCAGGGTGGACTCCCAGGGGGACGTCTTCGCTGAATGATCCTGTCTTGCTCTGTACCCCAAACGCCACAGGTAGAACCCTTCCCCTGCCGCCTCCTGAAAGATTTACAGTTATGGCCTCTCAGAGTCAAAGGAAAACTTGGGTTAAATGTGTTTTCCAGAGAAGGCATTAAACCTGATCACTCGAATGTCTTTTCTTGTATCTATAAAGGGTGGCCACAGGGTCGGAAAACTAAGATCTCACTGCCTGGATTCATGTGCTGGGTTGCCTTAAAGTTGTCTAACATTCTCATCCGTCCAACAGGAAATAGTGCTGCCTAGCCCTGGGAAATAAGACCAGATTGGATATCGGGGTTAGAGAAATCCTTCAGAAATACATTCTTATCTTTGCATATGGATTTCTTTTCATACTGTTCATGGTTTAATTAAAACCCAGAGCTGTGCAGGTGGAAAGCAAATGAGCAGTTCCTTTTGAGGAACTGGAAATGCATTCTGGATTTACTTTGGAATGTTCCTCCTTAAAAGGCTTTGAGACATTTTATAGACAGAATAATTGGGTTGTTCTTTGCCCAGATTGGACAAAGGAGGTTGAAGTCCACTGTTTCCAAATGGAGCTAATTAGTGCATAGCCTTAACATAGAATGGAATCTGTTTTATATATTTAAAACATATTTTATAATTCCATTAATCTGGAGTAAATAGGGGAAACAGTGAATTTGAGTTATGAGTCACTATATCTTTAAAAATGTTTAACATAATGTTATTTTCATGTTTATAAAGTAGCATTAAGAAATGTCTTATAATAGACTGACAAATAAATAGAAGTACTCACTATTCATCCCCCAAAGTAATTCTAGAATTTCCTTACTTTCATACTATTGCTCCAGTTATTACTTCCTATCAGAATGTTTTCTCACTCACATCTCCACAGATTTAAATTCTCCCTGTCCTTCAAAGTCTGTCTAAAATGCCACCACCTCCAGGAAGTCTTCTTGGAAGCTGATCCCATGTCCTGGTTAGGTGTGAGAGATTCCTACTCTGCACTGTATCTGTTACTCTCTTATGGCCTTTCTGTAATTTTTAATATATTTATATTTTTCATTTATTTCTTTATTTCTTACCTCCATACTCACCTTTACCCTCTGTGCCTCCTACTCCCACCGTCTTTGGCATCGTGCCTTAGAAAAAGCAAACCTTCAACATGTATTGACTCTCTGGGGGCATTGATGGGTAGGTGTGTGGATTTCGTTAGATTTCCCCCACATGACCATTAGCAAATTCTTCCTTTCAAATGGGTCAGAAGTAAACCTGACTGACCCTGATCACAAATTCAGAATAAGTAGACACAGAAGTTTAGTCTCATCCTAGAGGAGCTGTTCTACATTACACTACATGGGAGAGATTATCAAGATCATGCAGCCCAGGAAGCAGCATAGCATCTAGACGGTGAGGGGGTAGGAGTGAAAAATTAGCACTGGAATCTTAGCTCCTCCCTGTGCTTGCTTTTAGCAAGTTACTTAACATCTCTGTGCAAATTTCCTCATGTATAAACAGATAAAATAATAACATTTACTTTATTCCAAGTTTTTAAAGAGGATTAAATAAGATCTAGGTAATGTGGTTAGAAGAGTGGCTGGACCTAGTGAGAACTCAGATTTGATGGTGGTGGTGATTACGATTCTTAACATCATCTGTTAAAATCAAGTCATATTTCTGTGGCTTAGAATTATATATATATATATATAATATATATATATATAAGCTACTTGCTCTGATATCTCATAATAAATCAGGAGAGTTATTTGTCTCCTTTTTGTAGGTACTAAGTGAGAATTAGTATATAACATTTGGTGGGAATCGTACTTGGCTGTGTTATGCTTTTCATTCTGTGGTCTTTTCAATGAGAGCCAAAATCTTCTGTTGTAACTGACTGGATTTTTGTTTCTTTCTTTGCTACATGGTAGCATCTGCTCTGAATTGAGCCTGTCCTCCATCTTCAAAGTCCTCTTTAGTCTTACCTGTGTCTGCTTGGCTTTAGTCATATGCCAAGAGAGCTGGCTGAGCAACTGGTCCAGACTGCCAATCACAAATATGGATCCGGTCTCCCCTGACTTCTCAGCTGGGTCTGGGGATACCAACCTGTGCCCCCACCGAAGTGATAGTATCGCAGTGAATCAAACACTAAATAAATTACCACTTTAAAATAATCAGATAGTTTACATCATTAAATTAGAAAAGGAAATTGCTCTGAAGGTAAATTGCAGGCTACAGTGGGTAGATGAGAGGAGCAATACCATTTCTTGGCCAGCAACTTGTCTTTCAGGCCTTAGGTGAAATGTCACCTCCTCAGAGAAGCCTTCCCTGACCATCCAAGCAAAGCAGCCACTTTCTACCACATCCTCCATTTTATTTTCTTCAGTCTCCTTTTAAAAAAATGAAGTGTAATTGACATAAAAACATTATATTAGTTTCAAGTGTACAATATAATAATTCTGTTTTTATATATTGCAAAATGATCACCTCAGTAAATCCAGTTAACATCTGTCACCATACCTAGTGACAGTATTTTTTCTTATGATCAGAACTTTCGAGATCTACTCTCTGAGCAACTTTAAAATATACAGTACAGTCTTATTAACTATATTCACCATGCTTTACATTACATTTTTTTTTTACATTAAAGTATAGTCAGTTTACAATGTGTCAATTTCTGGTGTACAGCATAATGTTTCAGTCATATTACATTACATCTTCATGACTTATGTATTTTATAACTGGAAAGTTGTACCTTTAACCGCTTCATCCAATCTGAGACTGCCAAGGCC